AGTGCTGTACTTGGCATATAGAAATTATGAAATAATGTTAATTATGGTTGCTGTTACTTTAGGCTAAACTGGCTTGATTAACCCTAACAGAACTCACTATGAAGTACTATTCAAAATTTATACTTGACCTTCTCTAAGCAGTTCTGGGTTCAAATTGCCCAACTTTCCAGGTTTGTGATTCTAGACAAATTTCTTAACCTTTGCTAGCCTCCATCTCTTCTTCTCAAAAATAGAAGTAATAATATCAATCTGGCAGCAATTTTATGGGAATCGGAGATAAAAAGATGTAAAGTGCTTTGAATGGTGCCTATCACGTAGCAGGAGCTTTGTAAATGATAGCTTAAACAAAAGTCAACATTGTTGGTTTCAAGCCTCTAAATTAGGACAGTAGTAGTCTCAAACAGGAAACAACTTAAAAGTCCATCAACAGTAGAATCAGTAACTAAATTGTGGTATATTCATTCCGTAGAGTACTACATAAAAATAAAAAAATACTGATATACACAAAAACATAAATAAATTTAAAAGACATAATATTGAGCAAAAAAAGCAAAACTAACACATGATTTATTAACACAACTCCTAGACATATATCCCAAAGTATGAAATCAGGGACTTCAAAAAATGTTTGTAGATCAAGACTATAGCAGATCACGGCAGCTCAAATGTCCATCAGTGGATGGATGGACTAACAAAATGTAGTATATACATACACTGGAATATTATTCAGCCACCAAAAAATAAAGTACTGACCTAGCTGGTGTGGTTCAGTCAGTTGAGCATCATCCTGTGTTGTGGGTTTGATTCCCAGTCAGGGCACATACCCAGGTTACAGATTCCATCCCTGGGTTGCATATGGGAGGCAATGGATCAATGTTTCTCTCTCACAGTGATGTCCCTTTCTCTTCCTCTCTCTAAAAATAAATTAAATTTTTAAATAAATGAAGTACTGACACATGCAGCAACATGGATGAACTTGGAAGACATCATGCTCAGTGACAGAAACCAGATACAAAATGACAAATATTGTATGATTCCACTTATATTAGGTACCTAGAATAGGCAAATTCATAGAATCAGAAAGTAGAATAGAGGTTACCAGGAGCTGCGGAAAATGGGAATAGGTGGTTATTATGTAATGGCTGCAGAGTATGTTTGGGATGATGAAATTCTAGAAATGAATAGTGGTGATGATTGCACAACACTGAACACATTTAATGTCACTGACTGTACACTTAAGAATGGTTAAAGTGGTAATTTTTATTTATGTATATTTTACCATAATTTCTTCAAAAAAGAAATTGAACACAAAAAAATACATACCATATGCTTCCATCTATATGAAGTTCTAGAACAGGCAAAATCATTGTATGGTGAAGGATGTCAGGATAGTGGTTGCCTTTGGATGTAGTGTTGACTGTAAGGAGGCAAAAGGGAGCCTTCTGGAGGGTTGTATATAGGGTGTCCCTCCAAAATGTATACACACACACTTTGAATAATTATAAAGGCAGTGTTTATTAATATACATTTCATTTTTAAAATTGAGCTATCAGCTGTTAAAGTGTGTATACATTTTTGGGGACACAGTATATATCTTGGTTAGAGTGGCAGTTATACAGATATGTAAGTATGTAAAATTGTTAAGCTGTCACTCTACAGTATATAAATTATATGTCCATTTAAAAAGAAAAAAGTAGAAACTGGGGAAAACTGTCATATAAAAATTGCTTTGCATTTTTTTTTATCTTTTGATTATATGGAGACTTAGGCTCACCTGAAGGCAGATTCTCTCTTTGGGAAAGTCAGCAAAACTGGCTCTTTTGTTCTCACTAGTATAAAAGCCAGAAGCTTTGCATTTTGCTGGGGAGAACTACAAAACACCTTAAACCTGACCTCAGAAATTCAGCGTCTTGCCTTGGTCCCTCATATTGGGCATGGTAAGTCAAGAAATGTGTTTATGAGGCTTCTTGATTTTGGAAGTGGAGAGAGAGAGGATAAGGAAGGAGGAGTAGAGAAAAATGTTTCTTGGCTGTATATGAATTGATAAGGCACTGCGCATGAACTGCTGCTTGTTCCTTAGGGGCAGAGGTGGGCAAGCACAAATGATGAACGCAGCTTGCAGGCAAGCAGTAGCTGAAGTAGCTGCTTCCATGAGACTTTGTGAGACTCTACTTTGGGCATAAACAGCGTTGCTTCAGGCACCTAGAAGCAGAGTGTGAAACAAAGTTTTAAAAAGTGACAGTTTTTCTAAACCTTCCAACTCCTCTAAGCCCTGCATCCCTTGAGCCCCTGAAGAATAACATTTTGGAGCACTGAGACACAGCACCCTTGGTTTGAACACTTGTAATCTCACCCAAAGCAAAGATCCTTGGGTAGGGGCAGAGAGGAAGAACAAGGGAGGGGGTACTGATTGTTGATCAGTTTGTGAGCACAAATAAGCATCTTTTTGGGTGTCCAGGAATTCTTGCAAGAAATTTTGCACAGGCGATCAGCCAAGGTGCATCAGTCATTCTGGTGGGGCTAGATAGAACCACTGTAATCTGGTCATGAAAGGTTAAGATGACCTCAGTTTATATTCACAGTCTGGCTAAACCTGGATAAAACCATTATACATATATGCATATCTCTGAGGCTATATATATGTGCATGTTTTAAATGTATATATATATATATATATATATATATATGTATATATATATATATAATTTTAATTGATTTTTTATATTTTTATTGATTTTTTTTACAGAGAGGAAGGGAGAGGGATAGAGAGTTAGAAACATCGATGAGAGAGAAGCATTGATCAGCTACCTCCTGCACACCCCCTACTGGGGATGTACCTGCAGCCAAGGTACATGCCCTTGACAGGAATTGATCCTGTGACCCTTCAGTCCGCAGGCCGACACTCTATCCACTGAGCCAAACCGGTTAGGACATATGTATTTTCTTAACAAAATTGGTATCTTATTGCATATATCCAGGTGTGTGTGTTTTTTTATGGAGCAGTTTATTTTAGGTGTTCCCTTGTCATTAAAGATTCTTTTGAGACTGCATTCCTGAAGTCAAGAGCCTTGCCCAGTGGCTGGGTCTTGCCACCATCTTCCAGCTGAAACAGAAACCACCTGTTTCCCTGCTGCCCATTCCAGTGCCTCCCTGCACTGACTGGTTCATAAACTCTATCACTTGGTCCCAGCAGCCTCTGGGGTTGTGACATTATTGGGCTTGGCTTCACTCCTTCCATGGGTGTGAAAAGGGACCTGTTTTGAGAAGTCATGGAAGGCAAGATCTGAAAGTCCAAGAGCAGCAGGTTCAGTCATCCATTGTCAGTGCACTAGTGAGAACACACTAAAGCTAGTGAGCCCTCCACACCCTCCATCCTACCACAGTAAAGAAAATGAAGAGAGAGGTGTCATGTGACTTGCAAGCTGGTGAAGCAAGCTGGTAGCAGGGATGGAACCTGCACGCAAGTCTTTTGATTCCCCAAGGTCAATGCTTTTCCACCCACCTCTGAACCCTCCCCACAAGTAAGCCTGGTGGAAGAAGTGAATTTAACAACAAATTGCACACCAAAGCCACAAAAACAGTTTTATTTCATTGCTACCACAAAAACAGAATCGAATTAAGACAGTACATTTCCACTTATCCTTACAAGCTTTTGTACAGTAAACATTATTATGAGTGTCAATTTGAATCAATAATTGAAATTTTTATTAAGCAACAACTTTTTCTTGAACCCTAGGGGAAAATCACTTCTTGGGCTGTCAAGTCTGCTGATGCAAGATGTCTATGACTTAACATTGCTTATCACCTCAACCAAGAGGGAGGGAAACTGGCTGATGCTGCCATCTCTTCCTCTCCACCTCTCACCCCAGTTAGGGACAAGGCAGGAGGAAAAGGCTTTCGGAGAAACTCTCATTTACAACCTCCATGGAAGAAATCCATTGACTTCTGGCTAACAGTTATTACCTTGCATTCCCTTTTGAATGAAAAAGAAAAATATAAAAACTGATTGTGTGAAAACATCAGGCAATTTAAAAAAATCTCTGAGGTATAGGGTAGTTATGAATTACAGTATTAAAAACCCAACTACAATTGATCCTAGCAACCATAAGTTTAAATTTTAGAAGAAACCAATTTATGAATGGATGTGTCTCTCTGAATCTAAATGAAAAAGAAAATCCTGGCAGATACTAAAAGACATAAGTGACTGCATAAAAGGTAAAAACATGTCATTCTTTCCATTCATGTTTGACTATAAAAATAAGCACTGATGTTTGAATTTTCACAAAATAAAAACAATTCACTGTGGCCACATCTTTCATTTTTGCGATTTGATTTCATAAGCATAAAAATCCATTTTAATAAGAGCTTGTCAAATTATTTTTAGATATGGGTCATATTGTGTTGCTGGAATTTAGAAACAAAACTGTTTCAACTACTTGTACTTTATCACATCTGCCTTTCTGACTATCATTAAATGTATAATATAGAATGAGGAGACACTTAGAAACATAACGCTCTGTGGTCACATTAACTTTACAGAAGCCTTCACAGGGCGCACCTTCAACATTGCACATGCACTTCTCCCTCATCCCTCCCTCGGAGGATGGAAGAAGAAAGCAGGAACAAGGAGGAGGAAATGAGGGAAGGGAGGAAGAGGAACATGGGAGTAGGGAAAAATCCAAGTCTAAAATGTCAAGGATCACTGTGGGCTCAAAGCCAGCAGAAGAAGGAAAGGTAGGCTCAGAACAACAGAAGTCAAACTTGATGGCAATTTGATTTCTAAAATAGCAGACACACACACACACACACACACACACACACACACACACACACACTTTTGAGTATGTGATACAAGGGAGTATGCGTGAATGATGAAATTAGCTTACAACATGGCTGTGAGTCAGTGTTTGTGTGCCTTTCTATGTTTAAATGCAGTGAGGTTACATGTGCTAGACAAACTTGAAAGTGGACCATTGCTTGGCCATCCCTAAGAGCATTTTTCATATGGCCATTTCATAAGAATCAATTTCAACATCAAGTACCACAACCTCATGGTAATCAATGCTGTCAGTGGTCACCACAGTGGAGTCAAGAGGGTGAGTGGTGACCCCAGGCTTGAGGGAGCCAGTGGCAGGGCTGGAGGGAGGCTCAGGGCGATCAGTAACACCACACTCAAGGTGTCCGGTAGCAGTGGTCTCAGGGTGGCAGGACATAGTGAGCTCAGAGTGTCCAGCAGTAGAGGGCTGAGGATAACCAGTGATGGCAGGCTTGACATGACCAGTGGTGGGTTTAGGGCGGCTGGTGACAGGGCTGAAGAGACTCTTGGAGGGACTTCCAGTAGGGATTTGGTGGCCAGGGACAGGCTTGGGATGGCTGGAGGCAGGCTTGAAATAAACAGAGTCAGCCTTGAAATGGACAGAGGAAGGCTTGAAATGGACATAGTCATCTTTGAAATGGACAGAGGCAGGCTTGAAATGGACATAGTCATCTTTGAAATGGACAGAGGCCTGCTTGCGGTAGACAGTGGCAGACTTGGGGTGACCAGAGGCTAGCGTGGAGTGGCTAAAGACAGGCTTCTGGTGGTCAGAAACAGATTTGTGGTAGGCAGAGGCAGGCCTGGAATGAACAGAGGCTGGCTTGGGGTGGCCAGAGGCATGCTCAGGTTGGTCAGCTGCAGCATTACCAGGTAGTGGAACATTCCGGACGTTCATTGGTATTTCCTCCGGAGCAGGACAGGCATGGGCATGGTCTTGTTCATGGGCTTGTTCTTGAGCTTGTTCAAGGGCAGGAGTAGGGGCATGGGCATGGACACGAGCTAGGACACTGGCCTCCCACATCTCACGTATATCAGTGATGACACCAGAGAGGAAGAGAATAGGGTGTCGAATAACATGGAGGATGGTCCAATATTCTCTTCGGAAATTCTCATTGAGCAGTCCATAGATCACAGCGTTGAGGCAGCTGTTGAAGTAGGCCATGAAGTGGGCTGCAAGATAAAGCCAGTTGGGGATCTTGCTTGCTATCTGTTTTGGGTTGACTGACACCAAGACAGTGAGCACATTGATAGGGCACCAGCACACTGCAAAGAGGAGGAAGATCACGAACATGGTTAGAAAATTGCGAACCTCAGCAAATTGGTTGTCAGGATTTTGCCTAGCAGGATCACGGGCTGCCAGCACTTTCATCCAGATCCTCGCATAGCAAAAACCCACTATGAGCAGAGGGAGGACAAAGTGGATACAGACGATGGTCACGGCAAAGATGGGGTTGTTCAGATAGTTGAAGATGCAGGTGTAGGTGCGAGGATCATACTCGATGGTGCCAATGTACATGTTGGGCAGGACAGCCAGGACGGTCATGATCCAGGTGACGACCAGGTAAATGCAGGTATTTCGCACACTGAAGATCCGCTCGTACTGGAGGCTGTGACAGATGTAGCAGTAACGATTGATGGCAATTGCCATGATATTGAAGATAGAGCCGACCACACTCAGCCCTGTGATAAATCCGACCACCTGGCACTGGAACTTGCTCAGATCCCAGCCCCCAATGGCCATGGCATGCAGCATCAGAGGGTAGGGGTAAATGGCCACCAGCATATCAGCCACTGAGAGGCTAACCACAAAGATGTTGCCTGAAAAACACATCCGGGGAGGGAGATGGGGGAAAGACAGAGAAGAATAAATGGTTAAGTATGAAAAACTACAAGTTTAAGCTCGAGGAAAAGGCCAACTGGAATCTTGACAATTTAGAATTCTAGAATTCTTTCAACGAAATACAGTTGTGGTTTTATTTTTATTTACAAACATATCCCAGGTGATTCTGATGCACAGTCAGGTTAGCGAGACCTGTTCTTTGTCCACATTATTTCTTCAAAAAGCAGTAAATACAAAAGCCCCTTGAGGAGCCCTTCACACTCACACAGCGACACAAAGCGACCATTTTAAACAAAGACAAAATGCAGACTTTTTTTTTTCCTGGGGGTAGGGTGGGGAGAGAGGGGAAAGGGTGGTGGAGGTGATCAAGCTGTTGTAGGAAGCAGGATGGCGAGTGGGAGGAGGGAGAGATTGCAGTAATGTCGGGAAGCTTCCATACCCTGCACCCCGGAAAATGAGACCTCTGCCTTCTCTAGCCTATCACTGCAATTATAATGCAAATAAGTTCACAGAGAATTGTAGTTTTCTTCGGCAGTTTTCCTCAGCGGAATTAGACAAGGATCTAAGACTCAGCCTAGTAAAATGTATTATTTCCAAGATAACATAAGAATAAAAGCTGAGGGGAAGAGAGGGAACCCTGTAAAATTTCGTCTGAGACCAAAGAAATAGTGAGCAGGACTTTTTTTTTTTTTTTAATCAGGAAAATCCTGCAAGGATTAGCACAAGTGCATACTTGATGCCCGTCCAGGCTCTGAGCGGCACAAGTACATTCGCCACTCTGCACCAGGGTCCGGCCCCTGGCACTGCTAAACAGAAAAGTGTGTGTGTGGGGGGGGGGGGTAGGGGGGGCGGTAGGGAGGCGGACTCCGGTTTCCCGGTTTCGTAGGGCAGCGGTAGGAACATTTTAGTAAAACCGTTCAAAAAAGAAAGAAAGAAAAGGTAGAAGCCAAATGAAGGCAGAGAATCCTCTTTCTTTGGAAGCACCTCATTGCTAATTAGCACTGGTCTAGCAAAATATTGCACTTCATTTGGGACTGGGAGAAAATGAGTACTTTTTCAAAGAGCAAAGGAATGGCTCAGCTCCTCTGCCTCCTCATGCTGGCTGGCGCTGCCAGAGCGCATAACCTCGGTGCTTTCCACCCAAGAGGATTTTTCTAGGGTTTCCCTCAAAGTAATGAATTAAGCGAAGAGAAGCGGGAAAGAGAGAGGGCAAAGCCTTAAAAACAAAGCCACACAGCCATGAAAACCTTCACTTGAATTTTAGAAGGGAAGGAAGGAGGAAAGTAAAGGGAAGAAGAAAATTAAATAAAAGAAAAATGGACTTCTCAGATGACCCTGGGGCTGGGTGGTTCTGCACCTTGGGACCGGACTACTAAAGTAAAGGTGAGGTCCAAGTGTGTGGTCCCTGTCCCCAGGGGATCCAGGAGAAATCAAACACATCCACCAAAGTTTAGAAGAAAACTTTGAATGATTGCGTGCCCTCCACTGCATTTTGAAACTTGTGTGGTGTTTCTGATTCTTCGACCCAGCAAAATAATCTCCTCGAGACTGACCGCCTTCTCCCTCGCGCCCCGACCTCCCGGGTCCAGTGGGTACTCGAACCCCTCGGACACCCCCTCCCTCCATCTTTTCGCACCACCATCCCCTGGGAGACCCAGAGAGAACTTGGCCAGAGATCCCCGGGCGCGGGACCCTCCCTTCCGCGGCCAGAGGGCAGAGTTTGGACCCCTTTGCCCTCCTCTTTCCCTCCTGAACCCTCTCCCACCCAACCTGCAAAGTCGGTTCACCGCCTGGAAATGTTTGCTGCCTCTAGCCCCGGCCCAGGTCTCAGCCCCCAGCATCCTCCCGCGCCTCTCCGCAGTCCCGCTAGAAGCCGGCTCCCTTCCCTGAGCACTTGCTGGCAGCAAGGGGAGTCTCACTCGCCGCTCAACCAGGTCCCAGATGCCCCTCGCTCTGCAGACTCTCTGAGCCCCCCCCCCCCCACGACCCCTCTGAGCACTTCTGCAACCCTCCTGCAATCCTATCTTCTGTCCAACCCCAAACTCCCGAGCCTCACCTCGGTCCCACGCTGCGATCCCCCACTACCTTGCTTACGGACTTTGGGATCTCCGCTGCTGCCGCTTCCGTTGCTGCCACAGCCTGCTGCGCCCAGCCTGCCGCTCGCCTCTCTCCACCCTGCGCCCTGGGACGGGCGGATGGAGCTCAGCTCTCACGGGCTCAGACCAACCTGCTCCATACTCAGGCTCAGGGGTCTCTGCTCCGTTCTCCGGAGCTACCCAGGAGCCGCCCTAGATCCCAGAACAGGGGCGAGTGGGGACTTGGCCCCCCAAAGGCACAGCTGCTGCGCTACCTCGGGTAAGCGCCACGGCAGCCTCTAGAACTTAACTTTCCCGGAGCTGGGAGCGGGGAGCGGGTCTCAGCCTCGCTGCTCTCCCTGCGTCCATTTCGCCTCCGCGCGGCCACCTCTGTGGCGTCCAGCTCTGCGTGTTGTCCCCAGGTGGTTGCCGGACTCTCCGTTAGAGTGCCGCGTTCCTCTGCATCAGGTCCCTGACGGGGCAGGACTAGGCGGTTTGCCACACAGTGCGAGCTTTGCGCTTTGCCTCCCAAAGCTAAATCTCTGAGCTCCCTCAGCCTGGAAAAGCTCTAAGTTTACGGGGCCCATGCATAACATCACCGCTCAGATTTTCAGAGAATTGGGAGCAGGGACATTCAGTGTGAGGGCTTGTCCATAGATTCCCTGTTCTGGGCGCACAAATTAACACCCTAGGTGTTGCAAGTGGCTGCCAGCTGGATAGAGAGAAGGAAGGTTAGCTTACCAGAATTTCGGAGCTTCTTGCTCTTCCCCACAGCCAAAATCACCAAGGAGTTGCCAGTGAGGTCTATGACGATGGTGATAACCATTACGCAGAACATGAAGGTGATTAGTGCTGGTGGGTAGTCTGGCTGTGGCAGCTTACAGCCAATACAGCCGTATGGGGTGGGGACTGCCAGGGTAGGCACCATGTTGCTGCCAGAGACCGTTAGGATCTCCCAGCCAGTCCAGACAATGAACACCTGCTCTGTCACCAGGAGCTGCTTGGAAAAGCTGCTTCCCCTCCGAGAAACAGAGAGCAAATGACAGCATCCTGCCCCCCTCTCCGATGAGCTTTTAAAGCCTCAAGAGGGACATAGCCCCACCCCAAATCCCGCCCCCTGACCAATCAGACCTTCCTGACCACCCCTACTTTAGTCACCAACTCTTCTTGGACAAATCCACATTGAGGTGTCATCTTGCTTCCAACTGCCTTATTTGTGCTTTCCCTCTAGTCACAAGCCCCCTCCCAAGCCTTTCCCTAGGTACTTATGGTTGTGACAAGCTCAGAGTCCACCTCCCTCCCACAGACACCCCAGCCATTGCGCATCCACTTTTGGCAAATTCTTCTCTCTCTGCTTCCAATGCAAACACTCTGGGAAGCAATGTAAACAGCAGAGCATGGTCATTGGGTCCTTCTTGGGGTCTAGTGTCAACCCAAGCCACTCTGAAGCCCCGAGCAGTGTAAGAGGTGGCCAGTGGCCCTTTGAACCCTAGATCTATGCCCCTACAGTCTCCTTAAGAGTTTATCTTACTCGCAGCACTTCAAAACCTTCCACAATCTTAGGGGAATAGGGGACAGCTGCTGGATGCTTCCACCCAGAACCTAGGTCTCCGGGGAACGTAACCCTTCTCCTGTGCCTGCCAGGAGCCCATTGGCACCCTTAGAATCAATGGCTGGTGGCCGCTCAGTCCAGTCCGGACTTCTGCCCTGCATGAAGAGATGTTTCTTGTGCCAGGCTCTGGGAGAAGGGGACAGAGCCTGTACTCTGGAAACAAGGGGAGGTGGCCACTCCAGCACAGCTTTGGGGCAAGTGAGAGCGGGAGTTCATCCCCTCCCCAGCTGCTGGTCACCCTGGCTGCGGGAGCTCAGATGCTGCTTTGGGGGAAAAAGGAAAACACCAAGAAAGCCCTTCTCTTGGGCCGCTGCTTCTCAAAAGAAACCAGAGGTGAGTAGCTCTGGCTCCTGTGCTCCGCAGGTGGCGCAAAGCACTGGGGAAAACTTTTGGAGCTAAGCTGCAGAGGTGGGACAGGCGTGGAGGTGCCCGGAGGCTCAGCCAAGAAGCCACCAGGAGACCAGTACCACCACCCCTATACCAGGCACAATTTATTTCGGTCATTCTCCCTTGCCATCTCCTTCCGCGGGTCTCATTTCGTCTTCCCCGGGTCAGGCTGTCCCCTAGCCCAGTGGATCTCCCTCCTCAGGCGTCATGGTTGTTCCCTGGGTGTGCCTAAGCAAGCCGAGCACGGGCTCTGGGAAATCCTAATGGTCCCCGCTAAAAGAGCGAGATTCTCACACTTGCTCACTCAACAACCTTGGTCACTAGAGTGGGTTTTTGCCCCTTAGTAAAAGTTAGGGCTCTTGTTGAGAAACCTCCCAGAAAATTTCAGCTAAACACCTTGAAAGTTTTCCTGACTTGTCTTGTCTTGCCGCAGTAGGGGAGAGGGGGTTGCTTGTTCCTGTGCGCCACCATCTGGACACAGCCTCTCTCTTGCCCCACCAGGAAAGGGGCGGAAACGGGGGTGGGGGTGGGAGGGGAGTGTAGGGGCTGGGGGCGGGTTCCATGAGGGACTTCAACATTCAGGGACCTTTAACAGAAAAACAGACCCTGCAGACAACTAGATTGCACACACTTTGTCTAGCTTAAAAGCTCAAGTAGGAATGTGTCCCTTGTTTGAAGATGAATCGAGAGAGAGAGAGAGAGAGAGAGAGAGAGAGAGAGAGAGAGAGAGAGAGAGAGAGACCTATCCTGCGCTCCCTGCTGAGAAGGGAATCCTTAGGTATAACAATCTTTTACCTGGAGCCTTTTCGCATTCATTATCTCACTGCTCCACACAGTCCGTGAATTCTCAAGGCTGGACTTAGCCAGGATTTATTCTTAAATGCAGCCCAAGAACCGGTTCTGCTATCCTCCCTAGGCAACTGTGAGCCCCGAAAAGGGGCAGCAGACAAAAGCCCAGCCTCGCCTTGGGGTAGTATTTCGTCCACATCAAGCTACTGGCGCCGGTTCCAGAAGGGTTTATGTCCTTTAACTTGTGGCAAGGAGAGATTTTTTAATGCAAATAAACAAAAATCTGAAGGAGAAAAAGAAAACAAGCATTCTAGTGACTTAAGACACTGGAGTCTCCTCTGCCCGCTCCCCCGCCCCTCTAATCCTATTAAGAGAGCTGGCAAACTGTTATTTCAGGCATTGTTTTATTTCAGTGAGCTGTACTTCTGAGATGCGATGGCTCCATAGCCCCTGGAGGCCCAGGGTGCTGGGAATTCTCCATGAATGTGGCCTGAACTTCCCTGGGACTGACGAGTGAGCAGAGCGAGCTGATCCCCTTGCCCCTGTTTTGACACTGCTTGACCATGACCCAGTGGGACTTGAATTTTTCAATACTAGAAATCTGTTCTGATTTTTTGTTGTTCTAGCTTTTTTGTTTGTTTGTTTGCTTGATTGATTTTACTGAGACAAAGTCATATACCACATTCACCTTTTTGAAGTACACCATTAGTGGTTTTATGTACTTTCATGCAGTGGTGCCACTATCAACATTCTCTAATTTCAGAACATTTCCATCTCCCCCAGAAGAAACCTTAGGCCCATTAGCAGTTACTCCCTATTTCCTCCCCTCCCTCAGCTCCTAGAAACTACTAATCTGCTTTCTGTCTCTGTGGATCTGCCTATTCTTATTCTGGACATTCCACATAAATGAAATCATATAATATTTGTCCTTTTGTGTCTGGCTTTTTTCCCTTAGCGTAATGTTTTTAAGGTTTATCCATGTTATAATATGGATCAGTACGTCCTGCCTTTTTATGGCTGAATAATATTCCATTATATGGAGAGACCACATTTTGATTATCTAGTCATCTATTAATGGACCATTGGGTTGTTTCCACTTTTTGACTATTCTGAGTACTACTGCAATGAACATTTTGGATTCTCTTTTAGCTGCAAGCAGTCCCTGGCTCAAAATAGTGAAGCAGAGAGCCTCTTAGTGCCAGCTCACACCTGCCCCCTCCCTCAGGGAAGGCTGGGCACTCAAGGGCCATCCCAAGCACTCCAACCTTATTGGCCAATGCTCCTCTGACATTACCAGATCATCTGCTAAATCCACATTAGACCATTGATTGACACACTAATATATGAAAACTGGCAAAATGACAATGCAGTAATAATGAAAATGTCTTTTGGTTTGAATACAAGCAAAACATTCTCCTTTCATTCATGAATGCTTGGGGTATCTTATCTGTTCGTGGGAAGGTATTTGGAAGCATAGGAGCTGCTTTGCCTATGCAGCCCCTGCTCCTCAAACTGTTCCTACCCCAGGACCTTGTAGATGCCTAATGAATTGAGAGTGTATTTAGCTTCTTGAAAATAAAAACAAGCTTGAACCCAGCTCTACCACTGGTCAGCTGTGTGGCATTGGAAAAGTTACTTAGCCTCTCTGTGTCTCAGTTTCCTAAGCTATATAATGCAGATAATCATAGTGCCTCATCATAGTGTCGATGGCAGAGTTAAATGTGGTAATACATATAAGCACTTAAACACTATCCAGAAGAGAGTAAGCATTCAACAACCGGTAGCTATTATTGATTCTCGTTCTGAAAGTTTCTAATATTCTGTCTAAACTCTATTCTGTTGTACTTCCATAGAAAACAGAGGCTCTATGAGATATCAGAGACCTTGCCTCTAGCCTCTAGTTCCCAGAAGAAGCCACCCAATGGGAACTCACCAGCATCCCAGGCCACTGTGACATGTGATAGAGTGCCAGATGGAAAGGGGCATACACAGGGGTTTGCCTTTTCACTGCTCCTTGAGATGCTTCACTGATATAGTTTGTATGTTTTCCGCAAGATGGAATGATCAGATTTCTTCACATTGGTCAGAATGAAAGAGTGGGTGATGCTTGGTCCAGAGACAGGTCAGACGGAAATGCACAGGTGGCTGGGTGACCTCAGGCAGGGGAAGCTGGGTTTCAGCAGATTGTGGAGCCATCACAGGCTGAGGAAGATCTGGTTCCAGGTCGAGGGTTGGAGCAGGATTTCAGGAAAAAGGCTTCAGTCTCAAAGGAACTGAGCAAGGATTTTGACAAGAATCAAGTCACTAGAACTAGAGGCCAGCCAGGTCATTACATCAACAAACTCAAGAGCAATTTGCGACAGGTGCTGTCCTTTTTACTATTGTTGTTTTCCTAAAGAGACTATGTCTAGTCACATCCTCTGGCCTTAATTCGTCATGACAAGAACCACTTTATCCTCCCTCTCCCTGTGCTTGAGTCATTACAGAGAGCAGGGGCTCACCAAAATAATTAGCACCCAGTATTTCCAGGATTGTAGTGCCTGATAAAGACCTGAGGAGCCCTGCTTGCCCTGTGGCTATCACCTTGCCATCTTGCCCCTGTTAGAAACTGGCTTGTGCATGTTTTCTACTGGCTTTATCCAACACTCTGTATTTACTCAGGAAGTTTGTGACCCATTTTAAAGAAATACTTGTCTCCCATTGGTCTGAGATAGACTGCACTGTAGAGCTGCCTCTGCAAGTAGCAGGTTGTCTGCAAATTGGCCCCCATCATTTGAAATATTTACATGTTTTGACATGAGCTCATATTTGAAACCATTGTGCATTTTCTATCGAAGGTATCTTAAAGGTTATGGTAAGTCTGAGAACCTCTATTTCAGCTTCCCTGTAAGAGTTAGTTTTGTTTGTTTGTGTGTGTGTGTTTTTGAGGGGGGGGTCCTTTCCAGGACCCTCTCAGAGAAATTTTTCATATGTCATGTAACCTATATTTTAAGTCAGATCATCTCGAATCACCTTCAAATTTGGTGAACATCCATCTACCTGTTTTTACATAATGTTATAATCAGCAAGCAATCAGAAAAAAGTTACTTTCATTTAAATAGTTTGGTCATTTTAACTAGTGGTTCATGTCAGGACTGTCT